GAAAAACAGATTTATTTACCGTTAGAAACTTAAACTTCCTTTTCTATTTGATAGTCAAATGCCAATAACTCTAAAAATACCATCAGAATATACCAATAATAGACCCATTCTTTATACTGTAACGATACCGCGTACTTAAAATTCGAGCCGCGCGCGAGAAACCTAAGCAGGTGTAAAAATTGAATATTTTACTTTCATTAGAGACACGTTCGTGACAAACAAGTGAATGATGCTGGGGTTTATACAAGTTTTTATTTAAATTGCAATTTTATTATATGTATAGATAGATGAATTTCTTTAAACGTGTACACATTATTTAGTTATTTGTATAATTATCATTACGTGTAACATTAAGTATTGATATATTTCTAAGTTATATATAGGTAAATAAAAATATGGTTTCGGATTTTTTCGCGGATTTATTTTGATTTTTGGCTCCCGATGTTTCGAATGCTTTACAGCAATCATGGACACGGGAGAGAAAAATCAGAAGAATAAAAGATAGTTTTATTTAAAAGGTCCCCCTTTATAAAAGAGCTTAAAATATATTTACCTCAACCGGAAATCATACCTGCGATTTCCTGGAAAACTGTTTCAAAATAAAATAAAAAAAACAGTGGAAAGTTTGTAAATGTTGGTGGAAAATGAAATCGGAAATGAGCTCCGAGATCAATAGCACTTGCTATATCATAGTTATCACAGCTTGCTCTCTCGCGGGCCATCCTTGAATATCATTGCGAATGTAACCTGAAAGCTGTTTGCACAAAACTATAGTCGGCAAATTTTTTTACCCGATTGCGGCGAAGCTCAAAGGAGGGTTATGTATTTGACCTGCATGTATGTATGTATGTCCGATTCTAAGTTGCTTGATAACGCGAGTGTTAGATATAAATATTATTATAAATCAAAATGGCTGATCCTAGGCGCTAAATTGTATACTTGAAACATTTTTCATCCGAATCAATCGAGTGGGGTATCAAAATACAGATTTTTAAGAGGCAATTACATAAATATACAACTTACATGTTTTGAAAGTAATTTAAAATAAGAAATTGTTAAATAAAAACTAAAAATATCTACCTGATCAAAACTAAAAAGCTGTAAATAAAAAAAATATTAAAAAAAACCTAACTGCCTAAAAAGTGAACTAAAAAGATTAAACAAGTATTATTAGAGACATACGCACACGCAAGTATTATAAAACATGTACATAGTATCCCATCAAAAACATAAATGTGAAAATGGGAGCCAAGTTCAATTCAATTAAGAATACCTTGCCGTGGTTGTCAACTTCACCGACAAAAAAACTGAGATCTAAATGGGAGCGAAGTTCTGTAGATAATGCTGAAATTTTTTCATAAGAACATACAACATTCTAAAATAAATTTAAAACACAATTTCTCGTTTCAATCAATTTCTACTACAAAAGTGTTTGCTATTTATAAATAGAACTTCTTAAATTTGAACAGTCGATAATTCGACATATTCATTAATATTCGTTAATAATTTAAGACAGAGTAGATAATTTAGGATAAATTGAAGTTCAAGATTTGACTTGGCTGAATGAAATCTTTAGCTATTTTTGGCCTGTTATGCCAAAGAAGTAGGTACATAAGTACACACACGTTTTTTTTAATTTAGCAATAGAAAACTTTTTAACACAAAAAACATACTTACAAATCGTTTGAAATAAATAGTTTTCATGTTTGCTTATAATTTTTTACTTATATAAAAATGTGAAAGATTAAGATGGATGTTTGTTACTCAATCACGCCAAAACGGCTAAACGGATCTGGATGAAAAGCACAGAAATAGATTGCCTATAGTCTAGAGTACGGTTCCCGTGGGATAGATTTGTTTTTGTTTTTCATGATGCAGTAATGATATCATAACTGCCTCGGTGGTGTAGTGGCTAGCATGTACGGCTGCACACCCGGAGGTCCTGGGTTCGAGTCCCGGGTCGGGCCAAGTTTAGTTATTAAGTCTTTTTGTATAGTAAGTCTCAGTAACAGCCCGGAGTTGGGAAGTTGGCGGTGTTTCACCCCCGTACCTCGGAGAGCACGTAAAGTCGTCGGTCCTGTGCCTTAACTCTCATCGGTCGTGTCGAGCAGTCGTCCCACCGGAGTATGAGAGTGACAGGAATAGAGAGTGCACGTTGTGTCTGCGCGTACACTTGTGCACTATAATATCTCCTGCGCAGTTGGCTAGTCTCAATGAGATTGGCCGCCGTAACCGGAATCGGTCGGGAGAACATCAATGATATCATAAATATACAAAAACATCTAGAGTACATCGCAGACAGTCGCCCCTCGAAGCTTATCCTCCGCCGGATATTGCTAGCAAATTCACAAAAATTTCGCGCTTCAAATACTAACAACAAGTCAAGTCAATATGACAATTACAAGTCAATTCATCATTAGCGATTTTTCCACCCTTAGGGGTGGTATTTTTTTTAAATTTAAATGGGACCAATCTCGAAGTATACACTTGCAATCAAAACAAAAATTGTCTAAATCGGTTAATGAAGGAGTTCTGAGGTAACAAAGATTAATAAAAACGTACAGCCGAATTGAGAACCTCCTCCTTTTTGAGGAAGTCGGTTGAAAAAGAAGTATAAGACGAGCAACGCCGAAGATAGTGGCTAGATTGAGAAATCAAACTCACTGGTGACGACGCACAAAGCCTTCCCGGAAGCTAATTCCCTTTGATGTACTGATAATGACGTGTCAGTCACCCCCCGGCCCCCCGCGGCACCCCCGGGGACCCCCCGCAAAGAGTTTTACTTAATCATTTACTTAATGCTTTATTTTTAGGGTTCTGTACTGCAAGTCTAGTGACCAGTCAAAACCCCTTCCTCTTAAATATATATATCTTTGTTAGTAAGCTATTGTAAATTTCACAAAAATATGTTATTACCATGAATTCTTATGAGAAATGAAAAAAATATATTGTATAATATTTTTATTATTTCTTTATAAGTATGTAAACAAATCCTTAGAAGTCGATTTTAACATTGTAACTCTAGCATCGATAAACCTTTGTAAGGATCAGTAGGCACGTGAAGGCTATTTTGAATACATATCAACATATATATATATATATATATATATATATATATATATATATATATATATATATGTTGAAAGCAACGGTAGGCCAACGGTAACGCGCTCGCTTTGGAAACCGAGTGAAGCAGGTTCAAATCCCGGGTCTCGCACCTCTGATATTTCATATACAAATCTCTTCTAACATGATAATCACTTGTCTTACGGTGAAGGAAAACATCGTGAGGAAACCTGCATGTCTGAGAAAACCTAGCAAGTTATCGAAAGACATGTGAAGTCCGCCAACCCGCACTTGGCCACCGTGGAGGACTATGGCCTGATCCCCCTCGCATTGAAGGTAGGTCCACGTTCAGCAGTGCAGCGTTAAAAAAGGGTTGAATACATACTTACTTGTTTTTTTACTTATTCACACTATAACCCATTTGGATGTTTAGTACACAGATAGACTATGACGAATCGAGGGTAAGTTATATTTTATATAAAAAAAAGCAAAGGCATGACCGCGGCAAGTCTTGTCTAATGAAAAAGCAGAAAAAGTAAAATGGAAATAAAAAATATACTCCTCGTACTGTAAAGTTTCTACAGAAGCATCCATTACCAACTAAGTTGTCTTAAGCTCTGTTACAGATAGTACAAAAATAAACATTCAAAAGAACTAAAACCCAACCTCAGTAACGAGATTACATCTCGGCGTCGCAGCATCCGGCGCCGGAAATAGCGCATAGCAATCGAATCTCAAGGCGCGGTTCTGCCCCTTCAGAGTTCAGACAAGATTATTTTCTACAACGATATCGATAATAGCGAAAGTGCTTATACAAGTCTATTTGAATAAGGATTTGATTTTTTAGATTTGAGGCAATGGTAGCCCAGTGGCAACGCGCTCACTTGGGAAAACGAATGAAGCAGGTTCAAATCCCAGGTCACGCACCCTCTGATCTGTGTATCTAAAAGAAACTACCAAGTTTTCGAAAGATATGTGAAGTCCACCAACCCTTGTCCAGAGCGGTGGGCTATGGCCTGATCCTCGTATTGTAGGGCCCGTGCAGCAGTAGCACGTTAAGGGCTGAATAAATTTCGATTTTGTGCTTGTCTATACTAACAATATAAGAGGCAAAGTTTGTGAGTTTGTAAGGCGTAATCTCTAGATCTACTGAACCTAGATGTTTGGTAACAAGATAGTTCGAGACTCTGGTAAGGACATAGGATACTTGTATCTCGGAAATCATCCCTTAAGGGGGTGAAAATGGAGATGAAAGTTTGTATGGGGAATCAACCTAGAGACGAACCCGAGCGAAGCGAGGGTGAGTCGCTAGTTATCAATATATAAAAACTAGAGACTTACACTGACAGTAGCCTATGCGTTATGCCAGGTTACATACTATCTATGAGCTAAATTTCATCGAAATCCGTCCAGCCATTTCAGTATGAAGGAGTAACAAACATACACACATACAAGTTTTCGTACCAAGTGTCTTTATGAATAAAATACACTTTAAAACGTTACAAGACGAACTTAGTGATGTATAGATCTTATCTAACACTAAGTAGTAGACTCATGACGTTCAGTAAAAAATTGTAATCATTTAATGCTGAATAAAATATTTTGAATTTGAATTTAAGCGTTATGTCACGTGGTTAAGTGTATTTTATTCATAAACTCACTTTCACTCGCAACTCCGCTTGCGTTATATGAAGATAAAATAATTAATTTTCTTTAATTTATCTTTTTTCTTTTTTGTTCAGCTAAAACTGTTCTGGACTTCAGAAAATGATAAGTTGCAAATAATAACATTGCCTTATTAAGATCACTTATGAATGGGTGCACGGCAGCGCTCTCGTCAAGTGTATTTAAAATTATTTATTACAATAAATAATTTAAAATATATAATTCTTTTCAGAGTATGTGAGTTGTGAAGGTGATGAGGTGGTGATGAGATGACGCAGCCGCCTTTCCTGCCCTGGGGCCTGCCCTACCAGCACAGGTGAATGTTACCATATAATATAATGATAACTAAACTCGCATATATAAGCAATCCTTATATTAACGTTTTTTTTTGTATTTCATATGGTATTAAGGGACTTCACACTACGACTTGTAAAGGTAGAGTAAATTTATACAATTAAATTAGGTGAAAGGAGCCTTGAACTCTATCTATGACAGTTAGAAAAGAATGTGTTTTGTTTATTTTTCGTTCATACGTCATATATGAAATCTTTTGACGTAATTTTTACTCACACTTTAATATCGATCCCGAAATTATATTTGCGAAATAGTTTTTGTTAGTTTTTTTGGTTGGTTCTTTTTATAGAAATGGACTCACGCGACTTTTTTTAAAGAAGATAGTTTATGGACTGACGGGCAACGTAAACAAGTCTTTTAGATATATTCCAAATTTTACTGTATCGATGAAGGTCAAGCTCGAGTTGTATTGAGGACTTAAGCGAAACGGAGGTCTGGTAATATTTTATTTGAGTACGTTTATTTGAAAAAAATAACCACTTTCAGGGAAGCTCATGCCCCTCGACGAGAAAGCTACGATCACACACATTTGCATGCGCACGCGCAGTCACACGCGCCGGTCTACTCGCACAGACATAACCACGCGCAAACACAAATCGACACTCATCAGACACAGTAAGTATCATACTCGTAACAATGTAGCATTTATCAGAATTATTGATTATATTATTTTATTACTACAGCCATCCCACATCGTGCATAGATAGTATATATACCACTTGTATTTGAATAATTTTGTATTCGATTGAACTTAAAATAGCAGCAGATAGAAAATTTAATACTTGGCGAAAAAGAGATTTATGTCAATTTTTCGTTTTTTTTGTAACTATGCACACTATAATCACCGTCCTTCGACGCATTATCATTACAAATTACGTATTAAAAAAGCGACACGTCAATAAGATGTACCAAGTACCTTGTTTTTTGTAATTACTGCAATACTGTGCCATGCGTAGTGCGCTATGTATGTACATAAGTGAGGTTTTATAGGATTTATCTCGTTCTTATTTACTAATAATTATTGACTGAAATCTAAGACTTAAATCAGCTTCATGTTATGATTTTTGTTATTTTCTTCTCTTAGTGCTTACATTCTAAATAATATCTTTTTAGTAGATTCCTAAACGTGAGATATAGTATGCGTTATAAGTCAGTCTATCTATTCTAATATTATAAAGAGGTAAAGTTTGTGAGTTTGTGACGTTGTAGGGAGTAATCTTTGGATCTACTAAACCGATTTAGATGAAATTTATTAAGAAGATAGTTTGAGACCTTGAGACCATGGGATACTTTTTATCCCGGAAATCATCCCTTAAAGCGGTGAAAATGAGCATCCCCATAAAGTTTGTATGGGGAATCAACCTAGGAACGAACCTTATTTTTATTTATTTTTTTTAACGTTGGGAAATGCACTTACGCGCGACGTGTGGGACTCACCGGCGTAATACAGCCAGTACTACCCACTAAAACCTAACAAAACCTTCCCCCGTCTTAATGGGGCGTCGCAGGATCGCTTACGCATTCAACTACGACGCCCCGACGGCAGGTCCGCCGAAGCAGACCACCACAACCATGGGGTTGCTCCACAGTCCACTCTGCTATCAGAGAAGTACCAGGAGCAACCCGCATGGTACACCGCCCTCCGAAGAGGACCACCTCCCACCGCCCACCGAAGTGGGCAACCTCCCTGTGCGTTTCTTAGCTTCGCTACTGCTACTGAGCCCCCCCACCACGACAAGGTGAACGCACGTTGGGGGGGAACCTAGGAACGAACCTGAGCGAAGTGAGGGTGAATCACTATTTTCATATATTTTAATGAAAGATAAATTAATTTTATTTTAATGAGATAAATAAACTTTTGCAGATGTAAAGGCGAAGGGGAAGAAGCCAGACCGGACTATAGAGAACAATATTTACATAGGTATTATATCCATACTTACAAATTTCTTTATGTACTATTTTAAAACAAATTAAAATGGCGACATATTTTGTGCAACTTTGACATTCACAGGTGCAGCAACTACGGCAAGTGCTCGGAAGAGGAGGGCGAGTGTCGAGACGAGGCTGTCACTAGCACCGCTGAGCCGTGGGGGGACAGACTTGGTTTGTATTGTATTATATATATATATATATATATATATATATATATATATATATATATATCATCATAAACTTTATAGTCGATTTTTGCCTCTTCGGCTTGTGCAAATCGGCAGATTAATGAATTGGACACTTTTCAGGATGTGACTAGCCTACCACACCTTAATCTGACGGTTTCAAGTATTTCTACCTCATCAAAACATTTTTTAAATATTTTAATCGGCTTCCCTAGACGCGCCCCTTTATATAGAAGACTTATATTATGGTGAAAGTACTCAATAGAGTGCAAGGTAACCTCTTTTATGTTAATCTGCCGCGCTTGAGTAACTACAAAAATCCCCCCTTGGGCTCCCCTACCATTACATATTTCCTCTAATTCCGTGTTGCAGTGAGCAGCTCGCACGGCGCCGCGTCCCGGGCGGACGCCGCCTCGCCGCACCCACACGTATCCACCACACACGCCGGTGGGTACGGATAAATAATAAATATAAAATAATTATCAATAACATTCATAAACTATCATCTATATTTTCAACCCCTTAAGGGAAAATTTCCGGAATAACAAATACCTGTCTTTCCCAGGGTCTCAAACTATCTTCTTGCCAAATTTCATTTAAATCGGTCCAGTAGTTTTTGAGTTTATTCGTTACAAACATACAAAAATACAAATCTTTCCTCTTTATAATTGGACGAAGTTATGCAAAATGGATCCAGCCCACGAAAACCGTTTTTGATTTACTGTCACAAATGGCACCTACATATCAACTTTTTACTTTAGTATATGCAAAAAATATCTGTAAAGTACCTTTTTTTTATATACAAATTTTACTAAAACTGCTATTTTCTCAAAAGTAAGTTTTTGTGGATCTGTTTTGCATAACTACGACCAATAATTACACATAGTATGATGATTATGATGTTTTCCTGAGTATTTCGGCAACGGCGGTCAACCTCACTGATACTAGCCAACTGCAGGAGATATTGTAGCGCAGACACTTCGTGCACTCTCTATTCCTGTCACTCTCATCTGGCGGAATGAGAAGGATTAAATAACGTTTTCCTATTACGTCTTATCCACTAATGAAAAAATTATTAAAAAAAGGTTGAATTCACATGTCACTTTGTAATTATGAATTTACATACAAGTTATCTTATATTCGGCTAATCACTTATATCTTTTATATGTTATACGCAAGTTAATTTTTTTCATATTGTAACGTCAACATGTCTTATTCTTCTAAAAACTTGCTTTACTGGTAAAAACTAGCCAAGTCTAATCTTGAACTTCAATTTATCCTAAGTTATCTACTCTGTGTAAATAATTCGACTGTTCAAATTTAAAAAGTTCTATTTTTTAATAGCAAACACTTTTGTAGCTGACAAGAAATTGTGTTTTAAATTAATTTTAGAATGTTGTATGTTCTTATGAAAATAAATCAGGATTATCGACAGAACTTGGCACCCATTTAGATCTCAATTCTTATGTTGGTGAAATTGACAACCACGCATATTCTTAATATTGAACTTGGCTATAAAACTTGGAATAAAGACTATTTCAAATCGTTTTCCAAAATATATTTAATGTACAGATTCGTCTTAGTTAGAATTTTATTATATGTATCTATAGATAGATTTGACCAAAAGATCAGACATTTGCAAATGACATACCACCATAAACTCTCTCGGACCGAGAGGTTAGACTAAGTCATGGTGTACCACCATAACCTGGTCCTATCACCATAATCTTTAGGGACGAGCGGAGGTCGCCGCGGCGCGCTGCAGCTGTGGCAGTTCCTGGTGTCGCTGCTGGCGGAGGGCGCGCGCTGCGTCGCCTGGACCGGACGCGGGCTGGAGTTCAAGCTGCACGAACCTGAGGAGGTATTCTGATACTTTCTTAGATTTACGCTAATATTGGACATTTAAATAAAACTATTGTTTCAGAATTTATCGCGAATTTATTTTAATTTTTTGTTCCCCTAAGTTTTGTAGTTGCAACAATGGTCACAAGTGTTTCAAGTAATCGAGTTTGCTGTAGAATAGTAAATAGTAATACATACAATTAAATGAATAATCAAATTAAATTATATTTTATTATTTTCTCTTTCTTCAAAATTATACTTTAATTCAAACAGACTTTTACAAGTACTTTTAAATCGTCAATTTTAAATCTAAATTAAATGTCAGTGTAGTCAGTCCGTGAGGAATCTATCACCGGTTTGGAAGGTAATCCTGCTGAGAAGAGCACAAGAGAAACTCAACTTGCTCTTCTATACATATAATAAAATTGTAACTAAGCCGAATCTGTACATTAAATATGTTTTGGAAAATCTTACTGAAATAGACATTATTATCGATACAGAGGCCGAATCTATAGTTTTTAGAATTTTTGTCTATCTGTCTGTCTGTTACCGCATCACAGAACAACCACTGGAGGGATTTTGATGAAATTTGGTATCATGATAAAAAATCATACATATTCCCTATTGGGCTAATCATCATTGCTAATAGTGAACCAATTTTGACAACCACCAACACCCCGCAGGTGGCGAGGCGCTGGGGCGCGCAGAAGAACCGCCCAGCGATGAACTACGACAAGCTGTCGCGCTCCTTAAGATATTACTACGAGAAGGGCATCATGCAGAAAGTTGCAGGTATTGTTATAATTAAATAATAATTCTATACAGATCAGAATAAAATCGAAATGTCTGTTTGTAATGTCGAAATAACAACTTTTTATTAAATGCATATAAAGGTAAGATGGGGTAAGACTAATGAGAAAAAAAATATTTTTATTTTTTGTCTATCTGTCCGGCTAATTTGCGAAACGGATGGACCGATTTTGACGGGACTTTTACTGGCAGATAGCTGACGTTATAAGGAATGACTTAGGATATATATTTTTGAAAAAGAATCAGGGTTCCGCGCAAAAAAATTAAAACCTATGAAATTGTGTACAAAACCTATACCCAGTACCTAGATACCTAGTATAACGTTATTGCAATCAATCTGAATGACAGTATGTAAGTCCGTAATTTACTACCAGCTCGAAAGGCAGTTCTGCTGAGAAGAGCCCGAGAGAAACAAGCCAGTTGCTCTATCAAAAATAACATTTGTTCACAATATTGCAATACAATAATTACGTAGGTAATTACTTATTTTACGTGAGTATCAGTCAAAACTACTCACACACATTTAGATATATCTGTTAAGTATTCCGCACCGTTTTTCAAAATGCATAGATAAAGAGAGAATATGAATGTTCAATACTATTTATTTACAATTGCACATTTTTTATCTTTTCCAGGTGAACGCTACGTCTACAAATTCGTCTGCGACCCCGAAGCACTGTTCAGCATGGCTCGACCGCCTACTTATGATGTCATCTCCCAGCTGTACTACCCCCCGTACCTGGCGCCCGCACCCCCCGTGCCCGCCGTACCCCCCGTGCCCTCCGCACCCCCCGGACCCCTCGCGCCTACCACCACGCTGCCCAGCACCAGCGACTACCAGCGACGCTACTATCAAGAACATTATGAAAATTAATATTTATAGCCAATAATAGATAAGAATTTAGGCATTTAGAAAGTATTTTTTGAAGTTATACTTCTTTTGGCGAGTTATGAAAAATGTATGATGAGAGTGATTTTTTACGATGCGACAAATTTATACTACAGTATGAAGTTAGTCGTTATTAGCTACAGTTAATACCGATGTCTGTCTGTATTCTCTGTAAGCAAATCTTGTAAGTTAAAGACCCACTTCTGTGTCAGATTGAGCTAAAATTTGGCCATTTTTAATCCAATATGGCGGACGTTACAAATTGCTTATCAGCAAACCCTTTCATTTGATATCCAAAATTTGATTAAATCGAATTCGAAATACGTAAAATAAATCATTAAAAAAAGTTTAAGAATTAAAAAAAAATAAGTTTATTTAAATGCTCTAAAAAAGCAAAGAAGTATAACTTGTTACGTGCGTACATAAATACACACACACTTTTTTTTATGATTTTCGTTCTTTTTTATTTGTACTCGTATGTGACGAATATAAAGATGTAGAGAGATGTAGCAAATGCTTATTGGACAATATGGCGTGCGGATTTCTGTAAAAAGCATTCCGTGGAATAAGGAATTATTATGAAATCTGTCAGTCTTAAAACAAAGCCTGCAAAGTAAGTCACGTTATTCTAATAGCTGTAGGGCTAAAGATCGAGAGGTCCTGGGTTCAAGCCCCGGGCCTCGTACTTCTGATTTTCTCATGTGCAAATCATTTCCAACATGATCACCAATTGTCTTACGGTGAAGGAAAACGTCGTGAGGAAACCTGCATGCCTGAGAGAACCTCTCACTTCACCAGCATCTTGGAATAGGGTTTAATATTTTCTGCATTAAAGGGCAGCACCACCTCAGCAGTGTGACGTTAAAAAGATCTGAAAGTGTTAGCGTGTTGTATATTTCGGTACAAGTCTTAAAATATGAGATGTTAGGTAAAACGTCTTTGCATAACTTCAAACTTTTAAAAAAAATGCATTAGAAATGTCAATTATTTTAGATAAGGAATACCACCTCTATTTTTACTTTTCAAAATTTGAGTTAGTTATTTCAGTATTGTATAGCGGTTCCTATTAGACAAAAAATGACTTGTAACAACTCTATATTACCAATGGTCGTAAAATGGTCCTGACATACGGACCTCCATACTAATATTATAAACGTGAAAGTGTGTTTGTTTGTCTTTCTTTCACGTCGAAACGGAACGACGGATTGGAGTGATTTTTTGTGTGAACATAGTTTGAGGGCTGGAGAGTGACATGGCTAGGTTATCGGGAGATTATCTCATTCCCACGGGAAAACACGTTATAATGCAACCCAAAAAATTATAATTTATGATCATAATTACTTAAAATATTGATATAGGCTTAATTCAAAAGCAATAAAGATTATAAAAAAAAATCACCTTTATTTAAGTCACACGCATATTCTCTATACTTCTTCGTCTTTCGTATTTCGTCACATTCGACTTTCGATCGACTATTAAGATCCGATTTAAAAAAATATATACATAAGCTTTTTCTTCGACCCTATTTAATTTGAAGTAATATAATCACATTATTAGAAGTCACTCAAATCATAAGCTATCAAAATCATGAATTTCGTTTTTTCATACTAACCTATATACATAGGTACTGTATTTATACATACATTTTAAAGCATCCTAAGTAGAATAAAAAACGATAATTTTAGTAGGTAATAATTTAAAAATCCTAGTCTTATATTGTGCAATATTAAGTTAAGATTAAAATTAAGAAAAAAAAGCAATTTTGTGAATAATAATAATAAATTTAATTATAATAACAATTGTTTTACTTACCACTACATTTATAATATGTATGTATATAAAGTTATATATGTGTAGTGTATCAACTATCTGGTATCCATAGCACAGGCCTCGTAGCTTACCATGGAAGTTGGAACTAGATGGTGCTGTGTGTTAATGTCCCAACATATTTATATTTTATTTACCGACTTCAGAAAGATGTATCTACATTTACCCTACTATTATAAAGAGGAAAGATTTGTATTTTTGTATGTTTATAACGAATAAAATCATAAACTATTGGACCGATTTAGATTAAATTTGGAAAAAATATAGTTTGAGACCCTGGACAGGACGTAGAATATTTTTTATTTCGGAAACCATCCTTTAAGGGGGTGAAAATGGGGATGAAAGTTTGTATGTGGAATTAACCTAGGGACGGGCCTGAGAGAAGTGAGTGTGAGTCGCTAGTCTTAAATAAAATAAATGAATTGTTAAACAATAAAACACCTTTCCTTTATTAATCGTTATATTGTTACTAAATAATAAAAATTTATACACACAAAAGAAAATCATATATCCCGCGTCAAACCATAGACCAGGAACAACAATATATACAATCAACTTCATGCATAAGATTGTGCTAGTAATTTCACTACGCAGGGTGGAACAAATCGATGGGACATGAAAGAAAAGTACCCTAAATATTGAAGTTAGCAAGATTTACTCAAAGAAAAATTTCTTTATTTTTAAAAATAATAACTGCATTTAATTTTTTTTTAAATCTTACCTCAACCGGGCATCGAACCAAATAAAAATGCAAAAAAGGACACCGTCACTATTTTATCGAATTATTCGATAGGGTCTATTGTAAGGATAAAATCTCTCTAGCAAACATTGCGTCTAAGAATTGAAGAAAACGATGAAATCGTGGAACAAACGCACAGGACATCAAAGAAAAGTGTCTTAAATACTTAAAATGTTAAGTTTCACTCATTGGAAACATTATTTTAAAAAATAAGATTACCTGCATTTAACATGACATGAACTACTCAAACTATCAAATATCTCATTTATAAAAGAAATGATATTGGCAGTGAAAAAGCCATTATCGATTACAGGTATATTACAATAATCATGAATAAAAAAAAAAATCCTTATAAGTTTCCATCTGCAGTGACAACGTTGTTGACCACATCTCTGCTGAAGACTTGTGCGGCATACTTCACCTGGAAAGTTAAAATGTCCATTTAATGCAATATCACCTAAATTTATCATGTTAATCTCATGATAATAATCCTTAGTTTTTAATTATATTAAGTATATTAATTATCGCTTTTATATTAGTAAGGTTTTTACTATTCAATAGTTACTTTGACTAACAGCTACAACTAGTACTTTAGAAAAGACTTAAATAGATAGAACCTTAGAAAAACAATCTTAAGACTATAAAAGTAATGATCATCTGTACTTGCCTTCATCTTATCATATGAATTGTGTTTAATATGTTTATCTGTTAATTTTGTATCCGTCGCAGGTCCATGTATACCATCTAGAGTATACAATTTCAGAATTTCTCGATGAATTGCCATTGAACTCACTGATTCCTGATGATTATGTCTATTTTCTGAAAGTTATTTCGAAAACTTTTAAGTAGATGTAATACATCATACATATGATATATATTTTTGCCATTAATGACATAATAATAAATATTGGACCCATTATTGCCACTGCGAAGCAGATCATTCAATGCATCTGATATTAAGGAGTTTATTGCAGCAACATTGGCAGACCCTTAATACAGTTAATTTCAAAAAAAAACCTGCATTATAAATTGCTTCAATGATTTCTTTAAGAATCTTTTTTAAGAAAAATAAATAAATAAATAAATAATAAATAAAAAAGTATTTATGCCATAAAAAAGAGTAAAAAAAGTTAACAGAATCAGTAAAGCTTAAAGTAACTTATGGTAAAGGGTAATAACTCAGCTAATGTTGCTAAAACCGAAATCTCAAGCAGCGCTGATTTTCAGTTACACCCAGCTCCCTAGGGTGTTGAGCTGGAGCAAGGCAAGAGAACTATTCCTCCAGTTAACCTCTACAGGAGTCAGAGAAAAAACGTAATGAAAACAAAAAGCAATAAGAAATTTAAAAATAAAAAGTGTGTGTGTGCATGGTAAAAAGGGTTTGATGCCATCCCTAACAAAATAAAAAGCTAGGTATAGGTATCTTCCAGGGTGAAAAAATTCCTCTCAACATAAAAACTAAAACTTTATCAGCAACATTATTGGTGCCAACACCACCTCCTAAATCCTCAAAACCTTCAATGACCCCAGTTTGGAATTTGAAAAATTAAATCTATATTCTAATAGCCATTTGATCAAACATTAATACACATTGCAACCCCAAAGTGTCTTTATATTTAGCAACATCTGCTAAGTGTTGTAACATTAAATCATTAATACCAGGTCTTACAGGGATATCTTTTAATATAGAGTTCATAGTAGATTTGCTTGGTAATCTAATGCATTTTTGAAAGAATCTGTAACATTTAGGACTTAATTTGTATAATAAGAGTGCAAAAAATTTTTCATCATTGGTGTATCTGAGAGCTTTAACTTTCACAACAGATAATTGCAACAGCGAATCAATCAATAATTTACCAAATTTACTTAACAGAGGACTTTAATCTATTACTCAGAAATAAGTCATACATTTTAACTTTGCTTTTAATATTTTATTATCCTGACATAACTTTTAAACTAAGAGGGATATTCTCATTTTTATTTAGGCGAACTGTTGGAATTATATCTCTGTGAGAGTGAGTACGCCTCGAATTTCTAATCGTAATTGGTGTGGTCTGTCCCTGTACAAAATGAGACTTGACATTTGAAGGCATGGTACTCGATGCGTTGGTACTTTAGGAAGCCTCTGCTGGTAATCAATGACTGGTTGGGTATGGAATTTCTCATTATGATAGAAGTCTAATGGCATCTAATTCCCTACAGATGGTTTATTGGATCAGAAATCACTCGGAATATGGAATAATTTTTACAGTAGGCTCTAAGACTGGTTCATTATTATGAATTGGTTTGTGGGCCACTACATGTGTAGAAGTAGAAACTGAAGACTGTTCACAAGATATATTTAAAGGTATATTATTGGATGGGTTAGAACTATAAATTTCCTCCTTATGAAAAGAGTCCTTAGTAATTAAAAACT